ATTCCCAAATAAGGTGGGAATAAAACTAGTCCAAGTTACAGAGATTGGTTTTCCATTAGCCAAGCACCATACTAGGACAGCGCTGGAAGGACCCCTCATCCAATCCTAACAAATGTAGGGAATTGAGAGCTATTGTCTTGATGTTCAACTTCTGGAAACTGGGGTCCAGAGAGGCCCATCTGTTTACTGGCAGAGCTGGGAGATTGAGGCTGCAATGAGCTGTGAGTGTGTCACCGCATTCCAACCTGGGCAACAGAGTGAAACCCTGTCTCAAAAAAAAAAAAAAGCTTCCTGAAGAAGGCAAAAGAGGTGGCACCTGGACGCAAGACCTTAGCAGTTGAGCTAAGGGAAGGTCAATGTTGGAGATGAGCTAAGGGAAAGCCAATGTTGGAAAAGTGGGAATGTTGGAAATGAAGGAACCACATGAGCAAAAGTCTGGAGCATGATGAATTCGAGGTACTGAGAGCTGTTCAGTTGAGTGGGGAGGGCGGTGCATCCGGAATTGGTTCCTTCCGGTGGGTTCTTGGTCTTGCTGATTTCAACAATGAAATCAGTGACCCTCACGGTGAGTGTTATAGCTCCGAAAGATAGTGTGTCCAGAGTTTATTCCTTCAGATGTTCAGGTGTGTCCAGACTTTCTTCCTTCGGGTGGGTTCGTGGTTTCCCTGACTTAAGGAGTGAAGCTGCAGACCTTTGCAGTGAGTGTTACAGTTCTTAAAGATGGTGCCTCTGGAGTCTGTTCCTTCAGATGTTCAGATGTGTTGGAATTTCCTCCTTCTGGTGGGCTCGTGGTCTCGCTGGCTTCAGGAATGAAGCCACAGACCCTCGCTGTGAGTGTTACAGCTCATAAAGGAGTGCGAACCCAAAGAGTGAGCAGCAGCAAGATTTATTGTGAAGAGCAAAAGAACAAAGCTTCGACGGTATGAAAGGCAACCCAAGTAGGTTGCTGCTGCTGGCCCAGGTGGCCAGCTTTTATTCCCTTATTTGGCCCCACCCATGTCCCGCCAACGGTCCATTTTACAGAGCGCTGATTGGTCCATTTTACAGAGCGCTGATTGGTCCATTTTTACAGAGTGCTGATTGGTGCGTTTACAATCCTTTAACTAGACAGAAAAGTTCTCCAAGTACCCATGCACCCAGAAGCCAAGCTGGCTTCACTTCTCACTGGCACTCACTGTGGGATTTTGTGGCACCTAAGCTGGGGCACTCCAGCAGCCCAGAGGGAACTCATCCCAGACAATCAAGAGGAAAAGAAGGGAAGTGAGAAAGAGATGGAGGCCTGCTATTGTGGCCAACGATCCCACAAAGAGGGAAAGGCAGTCCACACATGGGATTCAGCCTCCGATCAAGCCCAGCACTTGCTGGCCAGGGCCAAGTGCTGGGCTTGCTGAGCCCACACTCACCTGGAATCCAGGCTGGCCCACAAGGGCCACACGCAACCCCAGCTCCCGCCCGCACCTCTTTCTTCCCACTTCCCCGAGAGCAGAGGGAGCCGGCTCCGGCCTCGCCTAGCCCTGGAGAGGGACCCTTATAGTGCTGCAATGGGCTGAAGGGCTCCTGGAGCGCGGCCAGAGCAGATGCCGAGGCGGAGAAGGCATGGAGAGCGAGCGAGGGCTGCTAGCACCTTGTCACCTTTCAATCCCCACTCTAAACAGGACACCCCAACTGCTGTTGGGAATTGGGTGATGACCGCTCTAGCTAATTCCTGCTGGATTGGGGTGAAGAAGGGGCCCTGCAGTTGTAGCCTTCTCCAGAGGAACTCTTTAGGCCAGTGGAAGGGCCAGCAGTTCGGTCCAGGGGTCCTCTGTAGAAGTTGTTAGTTGAGCTCATTTGGGGTTCCATTTGTAAGACCATCCGTAGCTTGATGGCCTCGATTCTAGAGGAAACAAATTTGACGAGGTTAAAAATACAGGGTCCCAGGTGTGTAACAGCAAGATGGCTGCCATGGGACCTAGAAAGGGGAGAAGCCGTGCTGCCCAACTCCAGAGGTTGGTATAAGACTTTGAAAGGTGTTGTCTGATTTCAGAAGCTTTTTCCTGTATTGCCGGGCAACATCTTGTACTATCCCTGACTGGTTAGTGTAAAAACAACACTCTTCCCCTAAGAAGGTGCAGAGTCCTCCTTTCTCAGCAGTGAGGATGTCTAGGCCTCAGCGGTTTTGGAGAGTCACTGCTGCCAAAAAGTCTATTTGGGATTGTAGAGTAAGGATAGATTTCGTTACTTCTTGCAAACTGTCTGAGAAATCCTTTGAGAGTGTGTGGTAGTAGGATAATGAAGTAGATAAACTGGCTCTTCTGGTTCCTGTAGCAGTAGCCATCCCTAACCCTATAAGTAGAGGTATTAGTTGTATGGCTCTGCGCTGACAGACTTGAGCTTTGAGGGGTACTGATAGGGTCTGATTTCCACAAGATTAGAAGTTAGGATAATATACGTTTACACTGTTCACTTTTAGCGAACTTTACTTTTGTTGAAAACCTTGTAAGTTTGGGATTTCAATTATTCTTTGCTGTTAATAAGACCTTGTTCAGCCCATATTAACTTACAATTGGTATAGATGTCTCCTTCCTGATTCTGTAAGTACTTTAAGGTTTGGCTGAGTACAAACAACTGGCACATTTGAGTAGACCAATTACCAGGCAATTTTCCTAACTCTGCTTCTACAAGAGTTTCCTTATTTACTGAATAGCCATTGTGTCTTTTTTCCTTAATTGCCAGGGGAGGAACCATCTATCCTCCTGTCCTGAAGGGAGCTCCTCCTAGATCTGGTTGGACCTTTGTATGGGTAATTAATTAAGATTTAGATCCCCTGTTAGGAAACCTGCTGGGTTAAGGATTTTTGATTGGAAGGCTACGGGTTGTCAGTGGCCTCAGTGCTTTCAGGTTACGCCCTTGTTTACACTGACAAGGTGATATTGTTGTGTTATAGGGTTACAGAGAAGACCTTCAATTATCAATTATAGGTTTTAAATGTACCCTGGCTCTTAAAGGAATAGGGCACACTGTTTTTTCTTTACTACTTCCATCTCCCTTTCTTTCTCTTTGACTTCTTTGTCTCTTTCTGACTCCCTCTTTGTCTCTGTCTCTTCCTCTCTCTGTCTCTCTCTCTGACTTTCTCTTTCTCTTTCCTTTCTGCCGGTCTGTGCCTGCCTCTGCTAGCCACTTAGGCTGCTGTTCTCCCCTCTCCTTCCCCTTTTTGATGGCTTCGGCAGTGTAAGACTGCCACCTCCTTGGGTTTTTGCACCGCGTGCAATAACTCCATGATTTCCTTGTGGCATTTAATGGGTGTTCCCCCAGAGGTTAGGAACTCCCTTTCTTTCCATATTGCAGCATGGGCATGTAGGATTAGATAAGTATACTTCTATCTGTATACATATTTATTCTTTTTCCCTTTCCCAGTTCTAAGGCTTGGGTACGTGTCACTAGTTCTTCTAACTGGGTGCTGGTCCCTAGGGGAAGAGGCTTACTTTCAAGTACAGTTACATCACTAACTATGGCGTAACCTGCCCTTTGTATCCCATTCTCCACAAATGAAATTCCATCGGTATATAGGTTAGGGTCAGGATTAGCTAAGGGGACTTCTAAGAGATCATCTCAGGCAGCATAAGTCTGGACTATAATTTGTTGACAGTCATGCCCGATTGGTTCCCCATCCTCTGGAAGAAAAGTGGCAGGGTTGAGGGCTGCACACGTTCATATTTGAAGCACTGGTCCCTCAAGGAGTAGTGCCTGGTGTCTAAGCAGGCGGTTGTCTGATAGCCATAAACTTCCTTTGGCACCTAGTAAGCCATTACATCATGAGTAGTCAAGGAAAGGTACTGTGCCTGGATGTGCATGTAGGCTAGGTTTATGTTTCCCTTTACACAAACATCTCAGTGTAGCAAAGAGTAACGTAGCAGTATTGCTGCCAGCGTATCTCGCCTCCAGCCACAGGGCGGTTTTCTCCTATCTCATGGTCAGCTTTACACTGAGACATTTCATTCCCAGGGACGAGCAGGAGACGGAAATCTTCCCCTTATCTGAACTGCAAAGAGGCCTCCCTCTTTCACTACTCCTCCTCAGCACAGACCCTTCACGAGTGTCAGGCTGGGGGATGTAACGTCTTTCCTTTCCCACGAGGCCATATCTCAGGCTGTCTGTGTCAGGGGAAACCTTGGAAAATACCCAGGCTTTCTTGGGCAGAGGTCCCTGCGGCTTTCTGCAGTGCATTGTGTCCCTGGTTAATGGAGAATGGAGAATGGTGATGACTTTTACCCGGCATACTGCCTGCAAACATATTGTTAACCAGGCACATCCTGCACGGCCCTAAATCCATTAAACCTTGATTCAATACAGCACATGTTTCTGTGAGCACAGGGTTGGGGCTAAAGTTACAGATTAACAGCATCTCAAAGCAGAACAATTTTTCTTAGTACAGATCAAAATGGAGTTTCTTATGTCTTCCTTTTCTACATAGACACAGTAACAATTTGATCTCTTTCTTTTCCCCACATTTCCCCCTTTTCTTTTTGATAAAACTGCAATCGTCATCATGGCCCATTCTTGATGGTCGCTGTCTCTTCGGAGATGCTGGGTACACCTGCAGACTAACAGCAGACAGAACAGGCACACCAGGATTAATACGAGATTTACAATAGTGGAACTTCTGATAGTTTTAACCCAAGTGACCGGGTTAAGATTTGCGAGGCCATCAGCAGCTTCTGCGATTGCCTCAGTTCCTGGCACCAAATTTAAACGGGCTTTTGATGCCTCAAAAAATTTGTTCTTTTAATTTTGAAATGTCTAAAGTAAGATTATCTTATCTTCCTTGTAGATGGCATCTAACCATGTCCCAGGGATGCTCAGACTCGTTATAGGCTTGGGGTGTAGTAAAAAAATCTGACGTATTCCAGTCACACTGTAACTGAAAACAGTGTTCCAAGATCATGAGCCTATCTCCCATCCAAATGACATTTTGTCTAAGATCATTAATCTGATCTGCCAACTTTTTGATCAATACCAGGTTGTGAATTCCACAATCTTGTAGAATATTTTGCCAATTGTTAACAAAGTGTACTGTTTGAACAGAAGAGTGCAATGCAACTCCTGCCACAGTGGCCATAGCTGTGACTGCAATTAATCCCATAATCACTGCAATCAAAGTAAAAATGAATCTTTTGGATCTATTTAGAGTGCCTTTTAATACTTCAGTCAAAATATGGATGGATGGCGAAGTTGCCCATGGTTGGTCCGTGGACACAGGGATCCACGTGCCCTCTCTTGCTCTAGAATACGGTGCTGCCAATTAAAAGTTGAATCAATGCAAGTAAACAATCTACAATTTTCACAGGTTATAGTTTGGGAATCTGAGTTAATAACTATTTTACCTACAACTAGCATATAAGGGTGCTTTACACAACTTTGCAAAGGAATTATCAGACTGGAATTTAGGTCGATAGCATATGATGGCTTATGGTCTCTTGTTTTTATAGCTTGATTTCCAGACCAAATTCTAGTGTGATGTGAGGCCACAGTAAGCTTCCAAAGTTCCGGGTTCTCAGGACCAGTAACAGGACTAACTTTGTTCGAGGTGATGAGATTCACTTTTCACTCCATTCCCAAGGGTAGAGAGACTCTAACGTTTTGTACTTATTTTTATCTAAACCTTCTGTTAAGTCACTGTTCACAGTTGGACTCACATGTGCACTGGGACACAATTGAGTTTGTCCTATGCAAATGCGGTAGAATTGACCTCGAGGTGCGCAATCTATAATGGTTCCGAATTCATCGTTTTGTAATATCGCTGCACTATCAGCCACCCATTCTTCTCCAACTAAAACTCCTGGGCCTTTTGATCCTTTGGGAATTTCTTTGGGGCAAGGCTTCCCCTTAGGCCTAGACTTTAATGATCTTTGATAAGAAGGGTCCTGCAAATAATTCACCTGTGGCCTGAGTGACATTCCACTTACCATGTGATAAGTAAATCCACTGGTGGCACTGATAGTAGGTACTTCTACCAACCAATTCTGGGTTGCAGGCATTAAGCAGCCTGGTGCTCTCCCTAGGCAAATAGGAGGATAACGATACCCAGTGGAAATATTCATCATCATTCCTTCTTCCTCGGGTTGGGCAGGGCCACGATCATCCGTGGGGCCAGATACCCATGCACTATTATTAACATATACTTTAATAGGATTATCTACCCATGTAACTGCCCGAATTAAGGGCGGGAAAGGCACATAGGCCCTGTAAGTATAATTAGCTGCAGCTGCTCCTGCAGACATGGGGAGACTTACCACCGTTGATACAATCATCAAAGCTGCAAGCAGCATATTCTCTGGAGTTCATGTCACCTTTGTGAATGCACTTAATGCCACTGAACTGTATATTTAAAAATGGTTAAGATGGCAAATTTTATGTGCATTTTACCACCATCTTAAAAATCAAGAAGGAGTTGGAGAAACATCTCAAATTGGTGATCTAAGTTTGCTAGAGTCAATTTCTATCGTTTACAACAAAGCCCTCTGTTGTTTTGTACAGTGGTTAAAGTGAATGCAGGTGAAGGTCACTGGCCATGAGCAAGTCAAGAAAATAAGAGGCTGGATGTTGGGTAGGTCATCCATCGAAATATCCATCAAATACGGATTTTCTAGATATTTGCAGGATGGTAGTAGTATATAGGGGTGGAGAGTATAGGATAAGAAAACTGACTCTGAGCTGTGGGCTCACCTTCACTGAATGAGATCAATTGGTAAGAAGGTCGTTGGATGATAGTAGTCAGGTGACACAAAGATTTGCATTCCAGTCTGGGCACAGTGGCTCACGCCTGTAATCCCAACACTTTGGGAGGCTGAGGTGGGCGAATCACCTGAGGTCAGGAGGGAGAAACCAGCCTGACCAACATGGTAAAACCCCATCTCTACTAACAATACAAAAATTAGCTGGGCGTCGTGGCATCCGCCTGTAATCCCAGCTACTGGGGAGACTGAGGCAGGAGAATTGCTTGAACCCGGGAGGCAGAAGTTGCAGTGAGTCAAGATAGAGCCATTGCACTCCAGCTTGGGCAACAAGAGCGAAACTCTGTCTAAAAAAAAAGAGAAAAAAAACCAAGATTTGCATTCCAAATAGCCACCATGCAATAGTTCATTCATTCATGAGGGCAGAGAAGGAATGGTCTCCAGCCACAGCATGAATCCATGAAGCACTGACTCCACCTCTTGAACTTGAGATATTGTATTGTGGGAGAACGAATAGACTTACCTTTTTAAAAAAAATTTTATTTTTATTTTTATTATTAGACTTTAAGTTCTAGGGTACATGTGCACAATGTGCAGGTTTGTTACATATGTATACATGTGCCATGTTGGTGTGCTGCACCCATTAACTTGTCGTTTACATTGGGTATATCTCCTAAAGCTATCCCTCCGCCATCTCCCCACCCCACAACAGGCCCCGGTGTGTGATGTTCCCCTTCCTGTGTCCAAGTGTTCTCATTGTTCAATTCCCACCTACGAGTGAGAACATGCTGTTTGGTTTTCTGTCCTTGTGATAGTTTGCTCAGAATGATGGTTTCCAGCTTCATCCATGTCCCTACAAAGGACATGAGCTCATCCTTTTTTAATGGCTGCATAATATTCCATGATATATATGTGCCACATTTTCCTAATTCAGTCTATCATTGATGGACATCTGGGTTGGTTCCAAGTCTTTGCTATTGTGAATAATGCCGCAATAAACATACATGTGCATGTGTCTTTATAGCAGCATGATTTATAATCCTTTAGGTATATACTCAGAAATGGGATGGTTGAGTCAAATGGTACTTCTAGTTCTAGATCCTTGAGGAATTGCCACACTGTCTTCCACAATGATTGAACTAGTTTACTGTCCCACCAACAGTGTAAAAGTGTTCCTATTTCTCCACATCCTCTCCAGCACCTGTTGTTTCCTGACTTTTTAATGATCGCCATTCTAACTGGTGTGAGATGGTATCTCATTGTGGTTTTGATTTGCATTTCTCTGATGGCCATTGATGATGAGTATTTTTTCATGTATCTGTTGGCTGCATAAATGTCTTCTTTGGAGAAGTGTCTGTTCATATCCTTTGCCCACTTTTTGATGGGGTTGTTTGATTTTTTTTCTTGTAAATTTGTTTAAGTTCTTTGTAGATTCTGGATATTAGCCCTTTGTCAGATGAGTAGATTGCAAAAATTTCCTCCCATTCTGTAAGTTGCCTGTTCACTCTGATGGTAGTTTCTTTTGTTGTGCAGAAGTTCTTTAGTTTAATTAGATCCCATTTGTCAATTTTGGCTTATGTTGCCACTGCTTTTGGTGTTTTAGACATGAAGTCCTTGCCCATGCCTATGTCCTGAATGGTATTGCCTAGGTTTTCTTCTAGGGCTTTTATGGTTTTAGGTCTAACATTTAAGACTTTAATCCATCTTGAATTAATTTTTGTATAAGGTGTAAGGAAGGGATCCAGTTTCAGCTTTCTACGTATGACTAGCCAGTTTTCCCAGCAACATTTATTAAACTGGGAATCCTTTCCCTATGTCTTGTTTTTGTCAGGGTTGCCAAAGACCAGGTGGTTGTAGATGTGTGATATTATTTCTGAGGGCTCTGTTCTGTTCCATTGGTCTATATCTCTGTTTTGGTAATAGTACCATGCTGTTTTGGTTACTGTAGCCTTCTAGTATAGTTTGAAGTCAGGTAGCATGATGCCTCCAGCTTTGTTCTTTTGACTTAGGATTGTCTTAGCAATGCGGGCTCTTTTTTGGTTCCATATAAACTTTAAAGTAGTTTTTTCCAGTTCTGTGAAGAAAGTCATTGGTAGCTTGATGGGGATGGCATTAAATCTATAAGTTACCTTGGGTAGTATGGTCATTTTCATGATATTGATTCTTCCTATCCATGAGCATGGAATATTCTTCCATTTGTTTGTGTCCTCTTTTATTTCATTGAGCAGTGGTTGGTAGTTTTCCTTGAAGAGGTCCTTCACATCCCTTGTAAGTTGGATTCCTAGGTATTTTATTCTCTTTGAAGCAATTGTGAATGGCAGTTCACTCGTGATTTGGCTCTGAGTTTGTCTGTTATTGGTGTATAGGAATGCTTGTGATTTTTGCACATTGATTTTGTATCCTGAGACTTTGCTGAAGTTGCTTATCAGCTGAATAGCCTTCCTTTAAGAGGTCCCCAGGAGAAACATCCTTAAGGAAGAGCTAAGTGTTGGTTTAAAAAAGAAATGAGTTGGCCGGATGCGGTGGCTCATGCCTGTAACCCCAGTATGTTGGGAGGCCGAAGTGGCCAGATCACAAGGTCAGATTGAGACCATCCTGGCCAACATGGTGAAACCTCGTCTCTACTGAAAAATTAGCCAGGCGTGGTGGCACGTGCCTGTATTCCCAGCTACTTGGGAGGCTGAGGCAGGAGAATTTCTTGAACCAGGGAGTTGGAGGTTGCAGTGAGCTGAGACTGCACCACTGCACTCCAGCCTGGTGACAGAGGGAGACACCATCTCAAAAAAAAAAAAAAAAAAAAAGAGAAATGAATTGAGGGAACTGCTTCCATTAAAATATAGGGATGTAGAGTTGTTCAATATGGGACTTAAAGTGATCCAGAGCCTGCAGAGAGATGTGGGAAGAACAGCAGCAGTGAGAAGGTGGGTCAGGAGAGAGAACGCAGGGTGGAAGACTAGCCAAGAAGGATGGTCAGAGGAGCAGCAACCTAGGGTAATGGTGTGAAGCCTGGTGGTTTATGTGGCCCCTAAAATGCCAAGGACACAGACCCAGCAAATACTGAAAGGCTACGAAGGTAGACAGGGCACTTGGATAAAACAAGGGTCAACACAGTTTGCACTTCTATGGGATTTTGTTCTGTGAAAGGGCTGTATATAACACAGTAACCCCCAAATGCAGAAGGAGCCTGGAAACCAAAGGAGGCAGAGAAATCCAATGTGTGGGTTTTGGGTGATTTATTAAGGTAACTTACAAACAGAAATGTGGTCTTGGGCAGCTACAAGATAGGTAGGTCTCTGCACCACAATCCCCCAGACCCAGGGCTTATATCTTGGGGAAAATTATATGCGCTTTGGAAGGAATGTGTAGGTGGCTACCAGCGTCACAGCCTATGATTTCTGTAACAGTAACCAGGGTTGTTTTGAAGGAAACTTACAGTGAATGAGTGTTTCCACATAAATAATAATACATCAACTCAACATTTTGGAGGCATTCCCAGACTCAGGATTAGTCAGTGGATTGGTATTTAAAATAAAGTCACTCTTGTCCCCACCAAGAGTTTTCCTCTTCAATGAATGAGGAAGCCTTGTGTAGCAAGCAAAAATTCCTCTTCAACCTTTCCCCTTTAATTCACACGTTATTGATATCTTTTCTCAAAACTGTTTCTTATTTTATGGTAATAACTCTGTTAAGCCTTATGTAGCAAATGTAACAGAATAAGCCTACTCTGACTTCAGTATCTATGTTAAACATGCTCACAGACACGTAGTACATTCTATGTCCTTGTACCTCAGTCAAAACATTCGTGCTGGACGTGCCCAGGCATGTCCCAGCTTGCAGCCTACACTCCTCTCTTATTTGGGAATATTATTACTTTTCTAAGTCCTTTCATAAGCAACTTCCTTTTTTTTCCTTCGTTCCTCACTGCCTTTACCTATTTAAAAAATTTAGAATGTTAGCCAATCGGGTTTTAGTTTACATTGTGAGGTCTGGCTCCAGCCAATGGAGTCAGGACACAGCAATAGGGACCTCAGGTGTAAGGCAAAAATAGTCTAGTATCTTTTTTACTTTGTGGGTACTCCCAGCAGGATTGCTGACAGGCACCAACTTTTCTGCAAAGAGTAAAAATCGCCTTGTTCAGGAAACTGTTTGTCTAATTGTGAATTCCTCTCTGTGACAGTAGGGAATAAGCATTTATTTCCAACACTTTGGGTCTCCCAGCAAGTGTGTCCGGAATTGGTGGGTTCTTGGTCTCACTGACTTCAAGAATGAAGCTGCGGACCCTCGCGGTGAGTGTTACAGTTCTTAAAGATGGTATGTCCGGAGTTTGTTCCTTCTGATGTTTGGACGTTTCTGGAGTTTCTTCCTCCCGGTGGGTTTGTGGTCTCGCTGGCTTCAGGAATGAAGCTACAGACCTTCATGGTGTTATAGCTCATAAAGGTGGTGCAGACCCAAAGAGTGAGCAGCAGCAAGGTTTATTGTGAAGAGCAAAAGAACAAAGCCTCCACAGCAGGGAAAGGGACCCATGCAAGTTGCCACCTCTGGTGCTGGTGACCAACTTTTAGTCTCTTATTTGGCCCCGCCCATGTCCTACGGATTGGTTCATTTTACAGAGCACTGATTGGTTCATTTTGCAGAGTGCTGACTGGTCCATTTTACAGAGCGCTGAGCG